TAGTAACAATGACTTGCAATTCATGTATTTGATCTAGAATGGACTTGGTATCAACCATGACAAATTCTAGAAATTTCAAGATGAGAAATTTGTCCGTACCTTCCTTCTCAGTTTTGTATTTGTATTCGATAGCGTTCCAAATCTTCACCGGAGACTCCATCGAGTTGTAAAGATCGTAGAGCCTATCAGAGAGAGTGTTGAGAATATGACCCCGGCACATGATTTCATCATCTCCACGCTTCTTCCTTGCGGTCTTCAATTCTTCGGAATCATCCTCCTTTGGTTTAGAAAGTGGCTCCAATTTTGGATCAAGCACATAGGCGATCTTAAGCACGGTGAGAAGGAAGAACAACTTTGCCTTCCAGCGGGTGAAGTTGGTACCATCAAAACGATCAAGTTGAACATTAGGATTAAGGAACGACGTCATGTTCTTTTCAACCTCCATTGCAGCAAGTTTAAAACCTTAAAGATTGTTAAGAAATTCAGAATTGGGAGGATGAAAAGAATAGAGAAAGCAGAAAGAGGGTTTGAGGCGTATAGGAATACTTTCCTTTAAGATTTTATTTGCCCTCACTTCTCAAAGTTTGCTAATGAGTTTTAAATGGCAAATTACCCCTAAGATACAACAAACCCTTGAACACAATATCCAGCAAAAAATATTAAGTTCCAGAACAATTAATTATCTGTATTTTCTGAAGTCCATCAAAATAAAGGCAGAGATGCATCCATCATCTTTAAGTGTTACAACCTTTCACATAAAGATACCTTTTCAATTTGAAGGTTATCTTTTATATGCTGATGCACTTATATCAATAGTTATTTCTATTGTTAATAAGTGCTCAGATATGTGAGAAAATATATCACAAATAGATGCAATAGTTCGAGACCTTTTTAGATCACTAAAACACACGAAAACACATTTTCCGTTAACAATTTGCGCTGCAGCGCCCAAGAGGCGCGCTGCAGCGCGTCCGTACGCTACATCGCGCGGGCTTAGCAAAATAGACCCGAGAGGTCTGTTTTGCGCAGGCTGCAGCACTTGTGTCCGCCCACTCTTCCCGAATGTGTTTTAAGCGAATTTTTGTGATATCGAAATTGAGAGATATATTACAATCTCTCTAACAAAATGAAGAGGAGAAATCAGAACAAGAAAGACAAACTTCCTTGATCCTCATATCTAAGCTTTAAAATATTAGATTTGAGAATTTAAGCAAGTTTTAAGGTGTATATATATAGACGATCTATGAATTAAGTGGATTTTATGTTTCCCATTTGAACTAGGATTCTTGATATTGTCAGGATTTTTAATCTTCAAGGGATTTGCTTAAGCCTAAGCCCCAAGGGAAAGAAGAGCTCATTGTTGTTGAATGTAGGATGCTCTTATCTTTTTTTTTTTTTTTAAATTATATGTATAATTTGTTCATCTTCCTCTTTATTTAAATTTACAATTATGTAGAATTTGACGGATCTTTTAAATATATCTAGTTGTGCGTTAACATATATGAATGGTTAACATATGAATGTAGGTAATTTTATGTTTCACAGATCGTTTAAATATATATAGTTGTAAATACTTAACATGTAAGAAGGGACATAAATATCAGTAAAGAGGCATTTGGATTTCCCCAAAAATTTATGTTATTTCTTAAAATTTATGCCACCATATTCTCACATTAAATACCAACTTAAAAGGGAAAAAATTAAAGAGAACAAAAAAAATGTGAATGAATAGGGGTTTGATTTATTAAAAAAAAACAAAAAAAGAAAAGGCAGATGTATCATATAAGAGAGATGCTCCTCATACTTGACATTCGAGATTTTCTTTCTTAAATATCTTTACATTTATGTCATTTATTTTTTATTTTAGTAAAATCGAATAGAGAAATAAAAGTTTTAAAAGAGAAAAACTAGAAGCTGAAAACTAGAAAATGAGTCACAACTTATAAAAGAGAACTTATTCATGAAGAAAGCTTTATATTAGATAAGCTCAAAATCTCACTCTATAAAAATGCCAATGGTATCATTCTAAAACAAAAAAACAAAAAAAACAAAAAACAAACAAACCAACAAACGCTAATGCCTAATGGTATCCAGTATCCACTATTCCAACATCCATTGTAATTTTCTCTTAACTCATCCAAAAGTATAGCAAAACTTCCCAAAAATAGAAAAATGTTCACCGATTCCAATGTCTGAGCCCGGGTTCGAACCGGGGACCTCTACTGTGTGAGACTAGCGTGATAACCAACTACACCACCCAGACGAACTTCTTGTCATGCCTTTAGTACATCTATAAAACTATTATAATGATACCTATTGCGCTCCATGGTTTTTTCTTTGTAATTCTTGATTTAATTAACGTCCTTCATCGATAGAAGGTTTTTATATTCATTTTTTTTTTTCCAAGGGTTGCGGTTTTTTTTCTACCAATTGGGGCCAGAACCACGCATTCTCAAACTCAAGTCTCGATCTCATTCTATCACATGACGGTTGGCCTATTGAATTTACCCACGTAATGTTAGAAAACATTTTTCTTTGCACTGCTACTCAAATGCCTCATTTCAACAGGAAATTGTTAGCTATAACGAGTTCATATAGTGATAAGCTAGATTCTATTTTGTAATCTTTGTATCGAGAGTAATGCAAGGTCTTTTTTTTTTCCCCTCCTGTGGTGAACAGAGTAATGAAAAGTTGAACTATCCAGCACATGTATCCGTATTTTTTGAAGAGAAAATTGATTTCATCGTTGTTGTGTGGGAAAATGTGATGGACATCTGGACCAACGGCGCAACGACACGTGACTATACTTACTTTTCGCCGAGCACTCAACCCTCGACGCTTCGTTTCTCTCAAGATCAGCTATAGAGCCCGAAGATGAAGTCCATGATTAGGGCGACGACCCCATGAGGCGTCGACGGTTGACTCCACCTGGGTTGACACGACAAGATCCCTCGACTGCAGAAGAGATCGCTAGAAGGGGCGAGAAAGGTTAAACAAGCACTGACGACGAGGGGAACGTCCCTTTTAGACATGATGGGTTACGTGCAAAGATAAGAGAAGTCTGACAGCATTAATTGCAAGTTTACAAACCGCCCCCCCAGGGGACAGAAAAGCATTACGGAGAGTCACAGAGCCGTAATAGAAGACTAATTGGTTGAGTGAACAGTACTAATTAGTGGGCTATGTCTGGGCCTAGAGAGAGAGCACTTGAGTGTTCCTACCTACGAAGGAAACCCACCCAGTGAAGGAAGCCCGAGTATAAAAGAAGAAGGACCCCAATAGGGAAGGGGCCCAGAAATTCCAGAGGAAAAAGAACGAGAGAGAGACAGCATTTATTGTAAACTATAATCTCCACAAACGAAATATAATATATACAGTGGATGTAGCTCTAATTTTATAGAGTGAACCACTATAAAATTCTTCTTGTTCATTTACATACAGTTCATTCAAACACAAAAATACTTAAATCAAACTAGAATCCACACTTTCATTAAACCCGCAAGCCGGTAATCCAAAGGGTAACCCCAAGGTAATCCGGCGGGTTTATTGTTGACGAAATCCAACCGTCAACAGTGATTCATGATTATTATTATTTTTAAAAAATGGTTTTATCACGCCATTTACTATTTAGACTCTAGAATCATATGTCCATCGAAGTCATGGCGCTGGTAACGATTATTATTTCTTATCATACACGTCCAAATACACAATAAGTCATAATTATTGAATAGAGAGGAAATAATGCTTGATTTATCCGTTCTACACGTAACCATTTTCTGTCTTTTTCTTTAATTCTTGTTCAAAAGCTGACCATTAAAACTTGTTTATTATGAGAGAAAAATAGAAAGAGAGGGAGGAATAAAAGGGATTAGTGAGGAATTTTAGTGCCATCATTGTTTAGTAGGAAAGAAAAGATGAAAAAATAAATTAACGGGGAATTTCAATTCCTTTAAAGTACCTCAATTTTAATCTACAAATATTAAAAGACTTTTTTTTTTAAAAAGATCTTCTCATCTCTTTTACTTTTTATTACCAAAGTCATAATCCTTTATTTTCTTTTTTTATTTTTCCAATTTTCTTTCCTCTAGCCAAACATAACCTTACCCTTCAATGAAAAAAAAAAAAAAAAAAAAGAAAGAAAGAAAAAAAAGAGAGAGAGAAAACAACAACATTACCTTGACATAGGCAGACAAGTTTATTTTTCCCCCCTTATTAATTTTGTTGAACAAAAAAGGAAATTCACTCGCGATATTTTATCTCCCATCTATATTATCTATAGAAGAAATTATAGGGCTCCACCAATAAAACAGAAAAGGTCTAACCCAATTTCACTCGAAGCATGTGCTTAGGGCCCGTTTAATTCGTTGATTCGAGTTTTTAATTCGAGTTGAGATGTGATTTTATGTGAGAGCTTTTTACTATAGCAAAAAAGTTAGATGTGATTGTTTGTGAGAGCTTTTTACTGTAGCAAAAAAGTTTGATGTGATTATTTGTGAGAGTTTTTTATTGTAGCAAAACTTGAATTCTAAACTCGAATCAGTGAAATGAACGGGGCCTAGTTTCTTTTAGATAAACCACTTTATGTCTAACGCCACACAGTCGATTAATATAATAAGACTTTTTATATCAATGTTGTCAATATTAAAATTAGAGAAGAACAGATACGTAGGAGACAAGTTACTAGCTTGAGGTGATGCCAGAGATAAAAACACACGGCACGGCACACATGCTTCGGAAAATGGATATAGAGTCACATAAAGAGTGCATTTTTTGCTCATGCATTTTCCCTCTACAAGCCATTATCAGTCTTTTTCTATTTTGCTTTCTTCTTCAACGAACCAATACCATAATTTGCGTGAGAGAACCATTAATTAATACAAGTCCTTTTCTTTATTTATTTTGTCATATTCTTCTTCATTAACAACCTAGCATTAAAGTGTTTATTTTTCAGGTCAATAATTTGCATAGCTGAGTGACTAAGACATGTGGCCTTTGACTTTATTTATTCCTCCATCTTCAACTAACTTCTAAAGCTCAAGAGGATTCTTCATGTTTCAGAACTAGACCTTGTTTGGTTTTTCTTTATTATTTTCATCTGAGTTTACACCTTGTTTGGTTGTTCAAAAATGTCCATCACGTTCTCCCTCTTCTTTCTCTCTCTAACCACTCTCTTCACTTCTCTCTCCTGCATTGGTCTCTCCAAGCCCCTTCCATCCCCCGAACTCCCATCGCCCTACATCTCACCCATCAAATTCTTTCGAAACTACGAAGCCATGCTCAACAAGTTCAAAATCTTCATCTACAAGCCAAACGCGGCCTTCGCCTACGAATCTCCATCGGAGTCTCTCTTCTACACCTCTCTCCCGAGCAGTCCCTTCGCCACCGAAGACGGCGAACAAGCTCACCTCTACTTTGTCCCCTTCCCCTCCGATCTCCGTATCAACTCCCTCTCGCGCGTCGTCAGGGAGATCCGGAGGGCTTTCCCGTATTGGAACCGCACCCTCGGTGCCGACCACGTCTTCATCTCCTGCCGTGGCAGCACCACCGCTGGCGACCGGAACGTCCTCGAGCTGACGAAGAACGCGATCCAGATATCCTGCTTTCCCGCTCCCGCCGGCAAGTTCATTCCTCACAAGGACGTTTCCCTGCCTGCGGTCTCCACCTTCGGCGTCGACACGCCACTCGAGCCGAAGAATGCGTCGGCGAGATTCCTCGCATACCTCCGGCCCGATCAGAGCGCCGGCGCGAACGAGTCGGCCCTGGTGAATCAGTTGACCGGCGATCCGGACTTTCTGATCGATTCCGGGGCGCCGTTCGATAAGGCGACCTACGAGGAGAGATTGTCCAGCAGCAAGTTCTGCTTGTTCGAGTACGGCGCCGGCGCGTCCAGAATCGGCGAGGCCCTGCTATTCGGATGCGTGCCGGCGGGGATCATCGACCGGCCGGTCCAGGCCCTGCCGTTCATGGACGTGCTGACGTGGCAGGAGATCGCGGTGTTCGTCGGTGCCGGGGGTGGAGTGGAGGAGCTGAGAACGGCGCTGAGCCAAGCCGCCGCCGGCGACCGCTACGAGCGGATGAGGAGGTTGGGCGTGGCGGCGAGCAAGCATTTCGTGTGGCACAAGACGCCGGAGCCGTACGATTGCTTTAATACGTTGATGTATCAGCTCTGGCTGAGGCGGTTCGCGATCAGATACGTAATCAGAGATGATTTATCGCTTGATTAGACAACTGTCCATTGTTGATTGGTTTATTTTTAGCTAGGTTTTTGAACTTGGGGTCCACATAGATTGATTTAATTAGAAAATTTGTTGGTACTTTGGAAGGGGGAGCCGTGAAAGGGCATGAGTTGTGCGTATATTAAATATTAATATGTCAAAAAACGTGTGCTAGACGTTTATTTCACCGATTTGAGTTTAAAATTTAAATTTTTTTACAGTAAAAAGTTTTTTTAAACAGTCACATTTAATTTTTTTTACTACAATATAAAGCTCTTATGTAAAATTACATCTCAACTCGAATCAGCGAACTAAACAGACTTTATTAATCTCTTATTTCTCTTTAAACAAATAAATTTCTCATTTTTTTTGAGTAGAATTTCTCAATTATAAAAAATAAATAAAAATCTTACCCTCTCAAAAAAAAACAAAGAGAAAGCCATTGGTGCATGGTGCATCATTGTTCCTACAAAGAGAGAAGAAATATATGTTGGATTAAGTTTAGGCCAAAAAGGCTTAAAATTGGCGAAATTCAAGGCCTGTGAATCAAGTCTATAAAATTGTATGGATTATGATTCAAGTTTATAAATTTTATGGACTAGATTTAGCTAAGTAGCTAAATGATAACTAAGTAAAATGAATTGCCATAAATTAATTAATTTTTAGCCACAAATTTTTCGTAGTCACAAATTGGCGTAAGCATTCCACTCTCACCTTTCAAAGAAAATTTTCATAGTGTGAGAGAAATTTAGGATGCATTTGAAATTGGTTCCAAAATATTTTTATTTTTTGTATGAAAATGAAAACGAAAACGTTTTTATTTTCATTTTGGAATCATTTCTGAAAATGCGTTTGGTAGTTTTATTCTGATATTGTTTTCAGTTTAAAAAAAACTGAAATTGTGTTTGGTAGTTTAATTTTTAAAAATGTTTTCATTACTTTAAATCAGAAAAATTACCATCCTAAAATATGAATAGAATTGCAAATTTTGAGTTTTTCTATATATATACCAGAAAATTTATCATCCTAAAGCATTAACATATGCAAATTTTGAGGCTTTTTTTTTAAATATTGGATTGGTTCCGGAGACCGTTGAATTCGGAAGAAGTCCACAATTTTAGTTTGTACTAGAGGGAAAGCTGCACATTTGGAAATAAACCTAGAAAGTTGTTGATTAACTGAGACATTTAATAAAATAGAAAAATAATGGGGATTATATATATATACAAATATAGTATATACATACACATACATACACATCAATCGAAAAAAACAGAGCAACAAAAAAGCAAAACAGACTAAACCAGAGAGAATAAAAACAGGCAAGAGATCGGCCACTTTCAATTTCCAATCTCCACATTTCACGAACAGAAATCGAGCTTCAAACTTCAAACTCACCACAGTCTCATCCGATGCTTCAAAATCTCAAACTACTCCGATCAACAACTGCGAAATCAAAAGCAAAACAGAGAATAAAAAAAAACATTACCGTTTGGCAAGCCGAAAAAGGAGCGAGAAAATCACGGCACTGGAGAATTGAGCTGAATCTGGAGGTGGTGAAAGAAGAAGCTTCGCTGTCGAAGACACTTTCTCAATCGCCGTAAGAGTCTGGGGGGAAATAATAATCGAAAGAGTCGGAGAAGAGAGAGAGGGAGGGGAGAGAAAGTGAGAGTGAGAGAAAGAGGACAAGTCAGTGGAGGAGAGAGGAGATTTCCAGATCTTCTGGTGAACGACCACCGTCTGCGAAGTTGAGTCGGTGAAGACGCCGATGAAGATGAAGAGGCCGAGATTGGTGTGGTACGAGAAAAAAGTGAGGAGAAAATGAAAATGGGAAAACGAAAACGAGTAAAATTCGTTTTCAGAAACTGTGTAATTTTATGAGAAAGACCAAAAACTTTTTCAGTTCTGTTTTTTATTAAATAGGGCTCCAAACACAATCTTCAAACCATTTTCAATTTTTACTCCTCGAAAAACGTAAAAAATGGAAATGAAAACAAAAACAAACAGGGCCTTAGTTTCTCTAGTTTTTTTTTTTCTTTTATAAGATGTTTCTCCTATTTACATGAGAAAAATAGTTCTTATTGTTCTCTCTGTATAATTTCAAGAGAATGTTGTAATTCTAATTTTTTTATAATAAAATCTTTCTATTTTTATCCCGTAATTTTTATCTCGTCTCTTTTGAGAGTTTTCACGTTAAATATATGTGTCCATTAGCCAAATTTGCCAACAAAATATATATGTTGATACAAAAGAACGACAACAAATAGTGTGACTGCCAAAAATAAATAAAATAAAATAAGTGTAAGCACCAGGTCATTACATTCATATGTTTTGTTGTCGTTATTCGTTAAATAATAAAAAATACATGTCGTTTCAGAAAATAACGTTGTTGCTATTGTTGTTATTATTATTGATTATTGATAAGTAATATTAGATTTCGTTTATTTTATTAATTTAAATTTTTAATTTTAATTACACTTAAAAAATTTTATAAAAAATTATATTTAATTTTTTTCTCTCATATAAAATTACGTCTCAATTTAAATTAAAATTCGAAATTCTTCGTGCCTTAATGACATTAAATTCGGAGCGGCAAGTCAAATGTTTTGTTGTCGTTATTCGCTAAGCAATAAAAAATACATGTTTCAGAAAACAACGTGGCTGCTGCCGTTGTTAGTATTATTGATACAATTTATTATTGATGATCAATGTTAGTAATATATATATATATATATATATATTGAATACGCATGACCCATCTGGAAAACGAAATAAAGAATTGGTCCTTTAATGTATATGGGGCTTATCAAGAAATTATCTCTAACTATAAGCAGAGAATATATTTGTTTTCTTATTTGATATTCGTGTCTTCTTCAAGAAAACTCTCTTGTACAAAACACATCGTTGCATCAAAAGGGTGGACCTCATTCTTTGCCACCAACAATTGATTTGTCGTGGCAGTTCTCTCTTCAGAGAGTATGGGAAAATTAACCTCATTCGAAAAAACCAGGGTGAGACATAAAATACCTATACAACATTTTTTTTTCTTTGTTACAATATTATCTCTTATTACTCTAAGCTAACTAATCTCGAAGAATTGATGAAAAATTTTCTTATAATTAATTCTTTTCAATAATCATGAATTCTTATTTCTAAATCAGGAGCAGATGACAAGACCACCGACACTTTTGGGGAGGACTTGAAAAAAAAAAAGTTTTAAAAAATTATAGTTGTGCGTAAAAAAGTGGTGAGATTTGTGCTATATTTTCTTTGTTGGAAATGATATTCTAAAAGTATGAGATGTAATTAATAATTTTATTATTTAATTAATAAAGTATGAATTTTATTATTTATGTACATGTATTATTGAATACTTTATGAATATTATTAAAAAATTTATGATTATTTACGTAACCTCAAATATGGTATATAAGTGTTATATAAGAGAATATAATATTTAAGGATAATAATCGAAACATAAAGTCTGGAATCTTTAATTGATCACATTATTAATACATGTCATTCTCATTCTGAATGGAACAATCTTATATAATTGTTGATATGTCGAGATATCAAAGTAAGTGTATTTTACATAATGAGATTATGTAGGACTAAGACATAGACACAATATGAATTTCTGATAATTTTTATTAAGTATAAAAATTTTAATTGAGTCTATTGATGGTAATATATAGAATGATCTTAAATTTGAGTTATTAGCAGACTCCTATTCATGGATACGTATTTTTTAACTTACTCGATAAAGATCTAGACACACTTAGATCTTATCCTTGTATCCTGGAGACATGGAAGCCGTGAATGCTAATATTACAAGATGGAATCCATTCATTCTTAAGAAAAAAAGTAGATAAATAATTCTCTTGAAGGTTGATTTGGCACTTGGATTAGTTGGAGCTCTAATTCATGAATGTGTTTTATGAATTACTAGTAAATCAATGGTACTTAAGAATACATATGTAATTAGAGAGGTTAACGGATTTCACCTAGCTCTAATTATGAATTATTTATGGATGATCGATCTATATATAGTGACTATATCAAATGGACACTTCAAGTTCTTAGAAGTAAATTATGTCTATAGTTTCGAGAGTACAATTCCAAATTTTTAGTGGAGTAACTTTTAGAATTAATATAATTAATTAATTAATTAAAGAGTTTAATTAATTATTAATTTTATTATAGCTTAGAATTATAGGTCCATGAGTCCCCGTATCATCCTTATAATATTTGCAAGGCAATATGAATTATCAGGATTTTATATAACTCGTAAATAATTAATTAAGAATTAAATAATATGATTATTGAATTATTTGTCACACACTATGGTGGGACCACAGGAGACGTGTGACACATAAAAAAATCCCACTAGGATTTAGTTGTTTGCTCTCTAAGTAATCCGGTTTACTTGTTTGACAAGTTTTCTAATTAAATTCAAAAGGAAAAGTAAAGTATGACTTTATTTAGAATTGAATTTGAGCTAAAATTAGAAACTAAATTAAAGATGAATTTTCTCTCTCCTCCATTATAATGGCTGGCCACCTATAGCATATGAGAAGAAAAGTTTGTTTTCAAAATTTAAAAGGAAGCTGTATTTTAATGAGATTAAAATATAGTAGTTACTAATTTCTTTCTATAAGCAAAAAAGTTCTCCTAGTTTTCTATAAATAAGAGACAATAGGAATTAGAGAAATAGATTTTGATCTTCTATTTTCCTAGTGTTTGCCGAATTTATAGAGAGAGAAAAAGAGAAGAAAAATTCTTTCATCTCCTAGTTTCTTCACATACATGCGATGATAGTGAAGAAAGACAAATTAGCGGGTGATCATAAACGATAGTTCTACTCCAGAGCCCACACTCTAAGTCTTGCAAGTTTCAAGGAGTAGACTTAGAAGATTCGGGTATTATGAGAAAGCTTAGAGCTTGGATTGTTCGTTGGTAAAAAAATTCAAGTTATCTTCCTAATCGTTAGCAAGGTATAATTCTTGTACTAAATTAATTATATTAATTTATTCGTTGTAAATTAATATATTCTATAGCGTTCACAAAAGTTTTATGAAAATTTTTGTTCGGATCCGATCCGTATTTTCATGCTTCCACACTCGAATTCGATTCGGAAACCATCACTCTTCTCTTCTCTTAGCTATTGGGTGTGTTTGTTAGTGTTTCTTGTAGTCCAAAATCACTTCTCTAGCTATCAGAAGCTGATAATAGTGTTCGGTAAAAACTATAAAAAGTTATTTTTAAAGAATTTTTGAAGAATTTATAGCAAAATAAAAAACAGTCTAAATACAACTTTGACTTTTAAATTGTGCGGGAATCAACATAGTACAATTAATGATTATCAATAAGGTTATATTAAATAATTAATTATTAATCACTAATTATATTATATATTAATTAATAATTAATAAATATATATACTTAATAACTAATAAATAAATAGTAATTACTTAATTATTAATTAAATATTAGGAATGTAAGTTTAGGTCGGGCTAAACGGGTGAGCATGAGGCTATCTATTGTTGGCACGGGCCCTGCCTTAAATTTTTTTAGGCTTAGCGCCACACTGGATCAACCTTCTCTCCTTTAGGACCGAGTCAAACATTATATTTAAAAAACAAAACAAAAATACATTATAAAACTTTGAACTGGGCCGAACCAGTCCTAAACTTTTTAAGCTTAGGACCGAGCTGGGCCGACCCTCTCTTTTAAGACCGACTGGCCTAAAACTTACATCTCTAATTATTATATTAAAAGGGTGGTCAAAATGGGACATCTACCTAATTTTTTACTCTTTGTGGAAGGATTATTTCCATTTTGTTTTAAACCACATGTGGTTATATTGTTGAGAAATGTTAGTATCATTCATTCTGTCACTCTTTTTGTCATTATTTTTATTCACTATTTAACACGCATACTCTATTAATATAGTAGAGTTTATATGTCAAACAGTGAATAGAGATAATGACAGAATGAGTAATGTATTTTTCTGTATTGTTTTAAGGGAAAAAAAATGGTTTCGTTCAGTGACGAAAAAAGTCTTTAAAGGAAAATCAACCCTCTTACATAGTATTTAATAAAATAAATAAAAAAGGCGCATCTATGCATCTTTTGATTGCTAAAACTAGGGCTGTAAGAAATCACCCCGAACCCGACGAATCCGGCCGAGCCGAGCCGACCCTATTTGAAAATCACGGGTTTCTAATTTTTTATTTAATTTTCGGTTTTAATTATGCCTAACCCGCACTACGCGGGTAGGGGCGCGGGGTGAGGTTACATGAACCCGAGGTAACCCTACCCGGTCGAACATGCTCAAAGTAGGTAAAACAATGTACAACACTTCAAATTCTTACTTTCATAAGTTTATGGACTTTATGCATTTAAACTGTTAACTTATTTATGTTTTGGATTCACGGTTTGTGTAAAAAATGCTTGTATGTCATAGTTGTTGAATTAAGACATTATTTATTTATATTGGAAGTGTTTGATTTCAAAGTGAGTGTTTTAATTGTTCACCTTGCATTTAGACCCCCTCTCGAAGGAAATACATTTTCTGTTTGATAATGATTTCTTCTGTAACAAGCACAGATTAATTGACTAAAAAGTGATCATGTGGTCATTGAGATCACCAACCCGAGTAACCCGACCCTATCCGAGGTCATCTGAAAGGTTGCGAGTTTGTAAACTTAAGAGAGTGTCGCGGCTTAAAATTTTTTCAACCCGCACTGGTTGGATAGAGAGTGTTGCGGCTTAAAATTTTTTTAACCCGCACTGATCGGATATGCTTAATTTTTCAACTCAACCCTACCCTACCCGACTGATTTACACCCCTAGCCCCCCCCCCAACAATAAAAAGACGTTGTTGGTTATTCCTCATTAGCTTCAAAAGGAAGTTGTTCTTCGTCACAAGAAAAGAAGTGGATCTCCTAAACCTAAACCAACTCCATACGAAGAGGCAATGGACGCTTTATCTTCTCTGATCTCGGAACGCAATACCGCCAGCGTAGGCAACAAGAACGTTCGGTTCGACCTGCTTTTCGATTACTTAAAGGTAATTACCGTCATTCGATTCGTAGCCGAAAGTGAAATTTTGTAATTTGGTTCAGATTTGTGTGTGTTTGAGCTTATTGTAACTGCGTCAATGGTGTTTTTGGACTTGGAATGTTATAGATTCTGGATTTGGAGGAGCCAGTATCCAATATGAAGATCATCCATGTCGCTGGTACAAAAGGAAAGGTACCAAAGATTTCTCTCTTTGGTTTTCATTCCCAGAAGTTGCTTCTGATATGTGGTGATGCTAATTCTTCTTCGTCTTGTTTTTGTGTTTGGACGATGAAAAGGGATCCACTTGTACCTTCGTGGAGTCGATATTGCGTAATTGTGGCTTCCACACTGGACTTTTGACGTCTCCTCATGTTATTGAGTTCAGAGAAAGGTTTCGATTGGATGGGTGAGTTTTGCGTACGCACAAGTTTGCTATTCAAAATAATGTATGAATTGTGTTTTTGGTTGGCACTGTTGTGTAACTTGGCCTTATGTGTGCCTCTGTATTTATTCGGACTCTTTTTTCTTTTTGGTCTGTTTTTATCTCCAACATTTACTATTTTCTATCTTCTTATATTGTCTTGTTTTAAGCAAATTTATGAAATAGATAAATTGCCTTACGACTGTTATTTAGAGGCATTTTTGTTCTATGCCTGTTTCATTTCCCATCCTAGAAGATGCACTGATTTATTTCTCTCATTATGGTGGAATACTACAGAGTGGAGATTTGTGAAGAGAAATTTGTAGCGTATTTCTGGTGGTGCTTCAATAGACTTAAGGTATGTTGAAAACCTGACCTCAAACTTCCGTAAATGGTATTTCATGAGCTTTTATATTAATTTATGGTTTTTTATAATTGCTCTTTCCATATTATTGTTCTGATGAATTTTCTTTGCAGGAAAATGCTGCGGGGGATATTCCCATGCCTCCTTACTTTCGCTTCCTTGTATTGCTCGCATTCAAGATATTTGCTGCGGAGCAGGTTTGCCGTGTGTTTTGAGTTTTTGACGCTACCATCCATGAACTTGCAAGTAATAATAATATCAATCAGTGGAATAAGAATATTACCCTTACTGTGATATTTCGTGCAGGTAGATGTTGCTATCTTGGAGGTTGGAATAGGGGGAAAATTAGATCCAACTAATGTGGTGCGTATTATTGTTGTTTTAGAAACAAATCAATGAATGGATTGTTTCAGCCTTCAGGAATAGGTTTAAGTGTAGATGGTGATCATGTTTCAGGTTCAGGCACCTGTTGTGTGCGGTATTTCTTCCCTTGGGTATGACCACATGGAAATTCTTGGTTGGTTTTCTACTTCTGTAGCCTTGGTAATTATATGACATGATGTGATGCATAGTATTGCAGATGCAAGCATGCGTTCGATAAGTCTCTATGTTTCAACCATCAAATGTTAGTCTGCTACCAGTTGATGTTTAAGTAATGGCTTGTCCAGTAGTATCTGTCAGAGTGACATGATTTGGAATATTTTATTGATTAATAGACAATAACTTGGAGTAATCGTATATGTACAGACTTTCGTGCTTGAGATATATTATACTTCACTGTTTTAATGGTTTCATCTAGTCAGGATTTTATTAATAGCTTCGTAAGACTATGTCAGTATTCTTGAGCCTGATTTATAATAGGTCCATTAGTGTTTCTATTGTTGATGCTGTAAACAGGAAATACTCTTGAAGAAATTGCAGGAGACAAGGCTGGAATCTTTAAGGTACTCTTTAAAGCATATGGGAACTGAGAACTACATGTATATCTACTACTCCGTAATTACCCCAGTTTGCCTTTTTGGATCCAGCATGGGGTTCCTGCTTTCACTGTGCGTCAACCTGAGGAAGCAATGTGTGTACTTGAGGATAAGGCTTCTCAGCTGGATGTAAGTTGAATGTGGAAATAAATGATTCAGGTCCTGTGACGGAAGACAGTTTTCAGGGGGGGAAGAAAGAAACAAAGAAACAAAATGGAATAAAATAAATGTCTTTCTGGTTTTGGAGTACGATAGTTTAATGTTCATGCTTAGATGGATCTCTTATGTTGGTATAATAAGGTCCAACATTCTTTTACATCTTCACGACATATTCAACTAGAGGATGTGGGTTCTATGTGTCAATTAGGCAATCAGAATGAATATATGTGTGTCTATGTATCTACTTCTTCATATTACTCCATAAGGGGATGAAATCATTCTTTTTACAGGTACCACTTCAAGTCGTGCCACCATTAGATGCCAATTTGTTGAATGGTTTAAGACTTGGTCTAGGAGGTGAGTTCCAATATCTTAATGCTGGTCTTGCTGTTGCGCTATGTTCTACTTGGCTTCAGAGAACTGGTCATGTTGGAATCACTCACCTGGAACATACTGTAAGTTCTACAAACGAAAACTTTTTTTGTGCGTGCATAAATTGTACATTGCTTGATTTATTTCCTTCTCTGTATGAAATAGAATTCTTTGCCGGAGCAGTTCATAAAAGGATTAACAACAGCATGTTTGCAAGGACGGGCTCAGATTGTCCCTGATAAATGTATTGACATTAAAAGCCCTGGAGATCTTGTGTTCTATCTGGATGGAGCCCATACCCCAGAAAGCATGGAAGTATGTGCAAGATGGTTTGCACTTTCCAGTAAGGAAGATAGCCAACGAGGTTTTAGCTATCAATTGCAGGATAATTCTAAATCCTCCAATGAATTGGTAAACAGGCACCTCGACGACAGAGCCATAAAGAAATCCACACAGGTGGAGTACAAAACGTTGGTCCTTGTGCAATCTATCTCAGTTTTGTGGATGTTCTTTCATTTTTCAGTTTCAATATGATAATAAGCAACATGTGTGCCACTTTTTTTTCTCCTTTATAAATTTGAAAGCTTCATTTCTTTTGCCATTTAATGACTGAATGTTGTTACGACATACACAGCAGATACTGGTGTTTAATTGTATGTCGGTGCGGGATCCTCATCTACTTTTCCCACGTTTGATGGAAACATGTGCTAGTCATGGTAATTATTTGATCAAAACATGAATTTTGAACATCTCTGGAATTTTTATCAATTCTCAGATAAGTTGCTATATCCAAGATGAATTTCTTGATCAAGAATCATTATTGTTGTGAGAATGTTGCATTGGATTTAGATCTGTCTTGAAGCGATAAGCTAAAGAGTTTTTGTGAAATAGTGAAGAGTTAAAAATCAAAGTAATAACTTGCAACCTATCTGGAGAAATGAAATGGACAAAAGATGCTGTATATAAGATTTATCAAGAAGTTATCTCTAAACAGAGAAGTTCATTTGGTTCCTTGTTTGATATATTAGGTGTCTGCTTCAAGAAAGCTCTCTTTTTACCAAACACATCATTGCATCAAAAGGTTGGATCCCATTCTTTTCCACCAAGTGAAGTTGATTTGTCGTGGCAGTTCACTCTTCAAAGACTATGGGAAAACCTCATGGAGACAAACAAGGGTAAGACATTAAGATTGTGTATATTGCATTTCTTTTTCTTGTTTACAGTACTATCTCATACTTTCTCTAAGCTAAACTAATCTTGAAGAGTTTACGGAAATTTTTCTTATTATAATAGAAATTATTATTTCTAAATCAGGAGGTGGTGGCAAGACTGTTGATGCTGTCTATGAAGACTTAAAAGATGATACAGAGTTGTGTGTAAAAAGTGGTAAAAATAGCGCCGTATTCTCTTCTCTCACCTTAGCTATTAAATGGCTCCGGGAAAGTGTCCAACAGAATCCATCTGTTCGTTTCCAGGTAATGCCCATTCTTTTGTTACCCTTTTTCTCTTAGTTATCATGTATATTCACTTGCTACAAAAGTGTATATGTTCTATTGTACGAGTTCCAATTATTTTTTTATGAATATAATCAGGTCCTCGTAACTGGCTCTTTACGTCTTGTGGGTGACGTGTTGAAATTGGTCAAAGTGTGAGACGTCAGATCAAGTTCAAATCCTTAACGTTGGCATTGAAGATGGGCAAAAGAAGTCAGTTCTCTTTGGTTATGCAAAAATATAAGGGAAAGAAATGGTTGAATGGACTTTCTATGTTGTATGTAATCTGTATATTAGAGTTACAATTTCTGTTTAAATACAACGAAACAAAGAAAGCAAATGAGGGGGGAAAAAATAACCAGCGATGATATGGACAACAAAAAATAAAGGAAGAGAAATTTTTTTTTTCTCTTTGGTTATGCAAAAATATAAGGGAAAGAAATGGTTGAATGGACTTTGTATGTTGTATGTAATCTGTATATTAGAGTTACAATTTCTGTTTAAATACAACGAAACAGAGAAAGCAAATGAGGGGGGAAAAAATAACCAGCGATGATATGGACAACAAAAAATAAAGGAAGAGAATTTTTTTTTTTCCTTTTAAGGTAAATGAAGAGAAATTAAGCTATTTACGTATAAATTACAATGGAAAGGAAAGCATATAGCCTCTTAGTTGTGCAATTTGATAAACAGCTTTCCAAATTTCAACAGGTTTTGAGTGCTTGTTCATATGCTTCCACCACATGATATTTGCAGTATTGACCGCAATATGAAGACACGGTTTCTGCAGGCATGAAATATGCCATTCTAGCAAAATGATCAAGTCCAATCATAATATTTCACACGGGCATTTCTTTTCTAATTCTGTCAATAACAGGAGGTTGAAGAGAGTTAGGTTTGTCTCACGCTCGAGAAGAAGAAATGCGTACTGAATATTGAAACCGAACAGCCAAATAGATATTGAGAGAACGCACAGGACTCAATATCAAATCTTCTACAATCAATAGAGAAATCCAATTGATAGAGATTGACAAATCCATGCCGTAAAGGCCATATAAAGTATCAACACCAACATGTCAGGATAAAATCCATCACTAATGTAAAACTAAAATACAAAAAGAACTCATAGCATCACTGTCAAAGCCTTAGACAATGAAAAAACAAACCACCAGGAAAACTAGCAGAACCTGAGAGATGCATGGTGATGTCGATGCCCACACACACCGGCATTGCTAGAAGACCACACCGCTACTACCACCACCACAGGCACATGAAACCATCCAACGCGCATATCGAAATCTTGTAGGAAGTCAACCATCAAATGAGAAATGCGCCAAGAAAGACACTTCAAACCATCAACCACAAAACTCCAGCCCAATGTCGATTTGCCCTAAAGAAGGCTCCACGCTGCACACTGCTACTGCCACCAATAAGCCCACAACTAGGGAGTTTGGAGACTTGGTTTAAGAGAAATTTTGACAAATACTTTTTATATTTTTTGTTTGATACGTAAATTTTATTAATTTTTTTGAGAATAAGTGAACTCTATTAATTTTAACACAAAATAAAATAATAAAATTCATATGTCAAATAATAAATATTGAAAGTAACTTATTCATTTTACCGATTTGAGATTTCAGTTTTAGATTTACAGTTAAAAATTCTCAGAAAATCGACGCTAATAATTTTTTTTCTTTTTAACAAAAAGGACAAAATGGCAGCCAATTCTGCACAAAACCATTACAAATGCCTTCCATTAAAAATTAACTGCAAATGACTTGGCCCATGGCACCCGCCCAGAGCCAGACCACCCGCCGAAAACACTCTCCCTCCCTCTCTCTGTCTCTGAAGTGCTGCAACTAAAAAACAATAGTCTCGTTGACTTTATAAATTTAAATTTTTAATTTAAGTTTAGATATAATATTTTTTAAAAAAATTTTACTGTAATAAAAGAAATTAAATTTGATATTTTTTAAAAATTTTTTACTATAAAATTTTAAAATTGAAAACGCAGTAAAATAAATGTGTATATATACCGAATGGTGCAATCGTTCCTCTTTTGATACGAATTGAATAGTATTTCAACACCGCTACCGCATTCCCTTTTTAGCTTTCCACCTTTCAAATTCAATCCTACTCGAACATCTTTTCTCTCTCTCTCTCTCTCTCTCTCTCTATATATATATATATATATGTTGTATATAGTTCATATATACTACTAACATCAGAGCTTCGTCTCGCTTCAGTCCCACGCCCAATCGCCATGGCCGAAGGTACCTTACCCCTTACTCAAATCTTCCTCTCAACTACATAACACTTTGTTTGTATTGATTTCACGTTTTTCTTTTTTCAAATGTAAAAAGATGACGGAAATGGAAATGGATCGTCGAAACCTAAGCAAACTCCATACGAAGAGGCAATGGACGCTCTGTCGTCTCTCATCACGAAACGCTCTCGCGCCGATAAGACCAACAAGGGCGATCGCTTCGACCTGCTTTTCGATTACGTGAAGGTAATCATTCGCTCGATTGCTACGCGAAAGTAAAAGCTCGTAATTTTGGTTCGAATTAGTGTGTTTGAGCTTGTGATAAGTACGTTATTGGCGTTTTGGACTGGGAATTATAGATGCTGGATTTGGAGGAGCCGATATCGCAGATGAAGATCATCCATGTCGCTGGTACAAAGGGGAAGGTACCAAAATCCTCTCTGTTCCAAGCTTTTATTGAAAGTTTCTTTTTGATGTATAAACTCTGGACTTTGCTTTTTGATTTTTAGTCCCAGAAGTTGCTTCTGATATGTTTTGATGCTAATTCTTCTGTTTGGGGATGAAAAGGGATCCACTTGCACATTCGCAGAATCGATTTTGCGTAATTGCGGCTTCCACACTGGACTTTTCACGTCTCCTCATCTCATTGATGTCAGAGAAAGGTTTCGTTTGGATGGGTAAGTTTTGCAAATAGTTTTTTATTGCATTTAATACAAACAATTATATTATGCTTGTGTTTTGTTTGTACTTTCTTGAGGATACCTCTTCCTCTCTTGGTTGTACATAATTCTTTATATTTAATATAAGTTTCTTGTTTAAAAAAAAATGCATTTTAAGATTATCAAGTCAAATTATGTAACAAAAATTAGAATTGTGTTTTACTACTATTGTTTACATGGCCCCAACTTTGAATTCCTTCGAATTTTATAATTGCACGGCGTTCCATGAGTAAATAATTTCATAATCTTTTTGGGTCTTTTTTGACTAAAGAAAACTCTGGTTCTTCTCCCTTATTGTACTTTCTTTTGTTGAGCAAATTTACTGAACAGATAAATTGCCTTATATGCCTATTGCTTACGGGCATTTTTGTTCTATGCCTGTTTCATTTCCCATCTGGAAAGGTACACTGATTTATTTCTCTCATTACGACACTACAGTGTGGACATTTGTGAAGAGAAATTTTTAGCATATTTCTGGTGGTGCTTTGAAAGACTCAAGGTATTATTCCCATGTTTTATATTTCTTTTCCCTCCCTTTGTTGAAAAGCGGAACCCAAATTTCTGTAAATGATATTTTGTGAACCATTCAAGCAATTAGATAATTTAACTACACGTTATTTTTCTTTGATTTTTTTATGCAGAAAAAGGCCACAGATGATATTCCAATGCCTACTTATTTCCGCTTCCTGGCGTTACTTGCATTCAAGATATTTGCAGAAGAGCAGGTTTGATTCGTGTCTTCGACTTTTTGAGGATAGGCTACTTCCATTTAACATCCTTCCACGAACTTGCAAGTAATATCTAACAGTCGAGTTAATATTTCATTTTATCAGGTAGATGTTGCTATCTTGGAGGTTGGCTTAGGAGGGAAATTTGATGCAACTAATGTGGTATTTACAATTGTTTAAGAAATGAATTAAAAAGATCTATTGTTTCAGGAATAGGTGTAATTATAGATGGTAATCATGTTTCAGGTTCAAGCACCAGTTGTGTGCGGTGTTGCATCCCTTGGATATGACCACATGGAAATTCTTGGTTAGTTTTCTGCCGTAGTCTAGGTAATTATTTTGTGATCATGTGATGCACAGTATTGCATTTGTAAGCGTATGCCAAGTATGTCTCTGTTTTAGGAATTGCATTTGATGACATTTTGTATTCAGTCAAGATATGAAATATGCTTGCTTCGAGTTAAAGCTTACTAATACCAACGTAAAATTTGTCATAGCCATTATTCGAAATATACTGTTGGTCAATAATGGACAATAATGTAGGGTAGATTATCAATTATGATATTGTTTGTGTCATGTTGTACTCGACTTTCTGATGGTCCCGTACACTGAGAATTGCTTTTGCATGATAGCTTTATAAGACTATGCCAGTATTCTAGAGCCTGATTTATAATTTGTTCCTGATAACAGGAAATACTCTTGGACAAATAGCAGGAGAGAAGGCTGGTATCTTCAAGGTGCGCTTTAAAGTATATGTGAACCAGAAACATTTCTAGTTTCCAACAAATTCTACAGTATATTTAGTATGAACTACACTTTTATCGTCTTGTTTTCTTTTTTTGATCCAGCATGGGATTCCCGCATTTACTGTGCCTCAACCTGATGAAGCAATGCGTGTACTTGAGGACAAGGCTTATCGGCTAGATGTAAGTTGCACCCTTTTTCCTAGCCAACTTTTTCTTCCTATAGAACCTAAAATCAATTATTCTGAATTAGTACATGTGTATTTATGTATCTATTTTTGTTTTTGTGTTTTAACAAGTCAGTGAAACCATGCTTATTACAGGTACCTCTTCAAGTTGTGCAACCATTAGATGCCAATTTGCTTAATGGTCTAAGACTTGGGCTTGAAGGTGTGCACCAATATCTCAATGCTGGTCTTGCTGTTGCACTATGTTGTTCTTGGCTTCAGAGAACTGGTCATGTTGGAATCACGCATCTGGAAAATACTGTAAGTTCCACAAACAAGACAATTTTTTTGTGCATGCATAAATTGTTCATTGCTTAATTTCTTTCCATCTCTGCATGGAATAGAACTCTTTGCCAGAGCAGTTCATAAAAGGATTAGCGACAGCCAATTTGCAAGGGCGGGCTCAGATTGTCCCTGATAAATGTATTGGCATCAACAGCCCTGGAGATCTCGTGTTCTATCTGGATGGAGCGCATAGCCCAGAAAGTATGGAAATGTGTGCAAGATGGTTTTCTCTTTCCATTAAAGAAGATGGCCAACAAGTTTTCAGTTATCTGCCACATGAAAATTTGAACTCCTCAATCGAATTGGTGAACAGGCACCTTGAAGACAGTGCCAGGAAGAAATCCACACAGGTGGAGTACAAAACTTGTGATCCTTTTGCAGTTTATGCATGCGGAAATCCATTTTTATGTTTGATGCTTGGCCTTGGTTATATGAAAAGTCAGTAAGATAATCAGGCATGCATTTTGTGTGTTCCCCTTTTTTTATGAGATTTACTTATTAATAGGATCGTATACAACATTTATGCTGATTTATTATTATTGCCTCTTTTCTAGATTGGGAGGCTAATACATTTCGCTGGTCAATGTCTGAAAGTTGTTATGAAATACATTGCAGATACTACTGTTTAATTGTATGTCGGTGCGCGATCCGCATGTACTACTTCCACGTCTAATGGAAACATGTGCTAGTCATGGTGAGTATTTTATCAAAACATGTAATCAGACGTCTCTTGGAATTTATTAAATCCAATTACCAGATCAATTTCTGGATGCAAAATGAGTTCATTGGTCAAGATAATGATCATTTTCAGAATGTTAAAGGGCATTTGTTTTAGGTGTCTTAAAGCAATAAGGTTAAAATAGTTTTGCAAAATATTGTAGGGTAAAAACGAATACTGATGATGTATCTGGAGAAAAGGGTAGAAAAGAAAAAAGTGCCTTGATGCATATGGGATTTGACAAGAAATTTACGTCTAAAGCAGAGAAATACATTTGATTCATTGTTTAACCATAAACGTTTCTTTGATACTTTTAGGCGTCCGCTTCAGGAAAGCTCTCTTTGTACCAAACACATCATTGTATTACAAGGTTGGATCCCATTCTCTGCCACCAAACGAAGTTGATTTGTCATGGCAATTCGCCCTTCAAAGAGTATGGGAAAACCTCATGCAGACAAACAAGGGTAAGACATAAAGATTGTATATATTGCAATTTTTATTTTCTTGTTTTTAATATAATCTCATAGTTTTGCTTAGCTAACTAGTCTTGATGAATTCGATCGAACATTTTCGCATGTCGAACCCCACAAGTCTTGATTCTTTTTCTTATTGTTTTCAAATCAGGAGGTGATGAAAAGACCACGGATGGTGTTGGTGAAGACTTAAAGAATGATGATACAGAGATGTGTGTAAAAAGCGGTGAAACTAGTGCAGTATTTTCTTCTCTCCCCTTAGCTATTAAATGGCTCCGGGACAGTGTCCAACAGAACCAATCCGTTCGTTTCCAGGTGATGCCAATTCTGTTGTTACCTTTCTCCTTGGCCATTATGAATACCATTTCCTACAAAAGTTTATATGATCCCTGATATCTATGGCTTCCGTTGTCTTCTTGGTATATCAGGTCCTTGTAACTGGTTCTCTACATCTTGTGGGTGACGTGTTGAGATTGGTCAAGAAGTGATACATCAAATCCAATTAAATCTCCCAAATTTATACGTTCTTCTACCTTAATTATGCTCTGGAATCAAAGACGGCCAAACGAAGTGGATCATCTCAAATTTTCAAGTCAGTTATTTTTGGTTTTGAGTTTTTGTTCGTAATCTTCCACCACATGTAATACTTGTGAAACTGACAGCAATATCAAATCGGCTTCTGCGGACATGAAAGTTGCCATTCTATGCTAATGATCAAGTCTAACGGAGACTTAATTAGGTCGATTAAGGAAAGGGAATTTATCATTTTCTCTATCCACTTTTTCTATGAAGTTCCATCTCTTAAACTCATTTCTTGACAACATAATGAAAATGAATTGTTCAAAGCAATTTGTATGAGTGGCATTTCGTACATGCTTAGTTGAATTATCTCGTGTTTTCCTCCAGGTAGTAAGTGGAATTTTCAGAGTTGCACCTTGCACTAGAGATGTTTATTGGAGCTTGTATATGGTCACCATAGAAACCAAACTCAAGCACGAAAGCTGAGTAAAACAAAATTGTAAAAATAAATGGGAATTTCTCTAATAGTCCGCTCCTGGCAGTCTCAGTTTTTGAGAGTTGAATCTAGTCAAAATCACATCAGATATGCAGAACGAATAAATTATGATACAAATATAACAGTTAAAAATAAAAGATTACCGGCAGTCTATTTTTGCAAGAACTACCGGAAAAGCCCCCAAAATAAATAGATGAAAGATGAGGAAAGAGACAGTATTGAATGCCAAGTATGAAGAAAATCGCTGAAATTTCTCAAAATATATATGAAAATTTTATACCGTCATCAAGCAAAATAAAACCACTTAATCTACTTAACAAACTAGAAAAAAATAAGCTCACCAAATAAACCTCAAATGCGTTCAAGGGTATGTATTGTAGCTCGCTATACTCGAGCTTGATATAGATACATACAAACCAACAAAGCTGAAGAACAATAAGATTCATCGACAGAAGTTTGTACATCAGCCAATTTTTAATATGGAACGCTCAAATTAAAGCTTCAATTGACAGCTGAATGGAAGGGTTCTGTTCTGTACATGTTCAATAAGTTCACCTTAAATAGCACATGCATTCTCTTCATCCCCGCTTTTTTCTTATTTTCTTTCCCCTTTGCTTTCACTACAATTGCCGGAGATGAGCAGACTAGTTGGCTATAAACAAAAGGCCGGTGGTGAAAATCAAACATAAAAAAACAAAACAGAGTTATCCACACCCTTTGTGAAAAGAATGAGTACTTTCCTCTAGTTCTCAAAGCAATTGCCTGAGTTGCTGGTTTTCTTTCCTGAGAGACTTGACTTCTCTCATCAGCTCAGCTTGGTTTTCCAGAACGACATTCAGTACCTTTGACATTTCCATCTGGATAATCATTCCAGGAATAATTTCAGGAAGAGAGTAATATAAAAATAAAAATTAAAAAAAAAGGAAAACCCTCGCACACATACCTCGTGCAAATGAAACTGTCTCACAGTCTCTATATGAAGGTTCCTTATATCTTCATGTACTGATTTCTGCAAAGAATCAAGACTCTCTCCGAGAGTACGTTGAAAAAGCTGAAGAGTAAAAGAACTTCCTTGCTGTGTATCCTGGTGAGAGGCCTTCTGAGGTTCTGAGGTTCCCCCCTGTCAACGTGTTTTGAAACATTATAATCTAATCAAAGCATGACAGCCAGAGCACAATAAACATATTTGCTTAGTAGTCATGTCAACTGAGACTCGCATATAATTGAATCTTTTATGCTCATAACCTTCAAACAATTTATTTAAAAATAAAAAAAGAAAAGAAAAGAAAAGAAAATAAAATAAGAAGCCTAAGTGGTCTCTCAGATTGCATCTGAGCAATCATTGTCGTATACATTTTGCCTACTTACATTTATAATAGGAAGCGTCCCCTTTTCCATGGCGGTCGATACATCTGACTTTGAGAACAAGCTGCTTAAAAGTTCTTCCCTGGTTTCAGCACCTGTTTTTTTAATTTTTGGTGAACCCAGCAAGGCTGATGTTCCATCGCTGAAGGAGGATGTAGTACTTATTCTCTCTGCATATGTGGAGAATCTCCGGGTCAAAGTTGCTGGTGAATCAAGATTAGTCTGTCCTATTATACCTTTTGTGCTGAGGGGCATAGAGATGGAAGTAGAGAAGTGTTCTGGATGTCCCAAGGAACTCTCCTGATTTACAGAAACATCTTTTGTTCGCAAGTTTGCATAACTGAAGTTCGAATTTGTTGAGGAGCTAGTACTTGGCTGACTTGTTGTCAAGGACAGATCAGGTAATCCCGACAACACTGAAACTGCAGTCGGACCACTAGAAGCAAACACTCCCAAACAGGATGGCAAAGTACGCATGTGGGCATATTTATCAGATGGTTTCTCACCGCCCCAAGCTTCTGGAGGGGTGATGGAGGAGTCTTCACTCTTAGAAGATGGAGAGGGAGTTGATCCCAACACTCCAAATGAAGACTTGGAATCCTCCTGCCAACAATGTGAGATATTCATTCAGAACATACAATGTTCATAACACAGGCAGTGGAAAGAGCCTCATTTCAAGTTACTAATGACATTGAAGTATACAAAAATGACCAATCCCGGAACAAAATTCACATTCAACTTCAAGGTATAACAAGAGAAATACTCTTCATGAAGCCTAGAAGGTAGTGTCAACTTCCATTTTAACATGGTGAAATATCTACAAAATCAGATAATGAATCAGAAATAACACTCGACCATAAACAAACGTCAAAAGAAAATATCGTCTAGATCTGCCAAGTGAAGTTCGAAAGAATTAACTAATCCATGTTTGCGGTCAACTACGAAATTATAGCTGAAGGGAGAGCTAGACCTGTTCAAAAGTTGCGCTGGGTTTCCAATCAGATACTGGATGATCAATGCCTCCATCTTTCATGAAAGGAAATTTCCTAGTAGATGAAGGGAAGAGAAGTGATGAAGGCTTCTTGTCCTCCCATAATTTGTCAAGACTGGGAGTGATTGGTTGAACATCCACGAGAGGGGAGAATACCTCCATTTCATCCTTGAAGTTATAAGTAGAACGAGGAGCATGTAATCTAGACAATGCTCCCCCTGGCCTGGCTGGCCACAGAGGAGTCCGAACTGGTGTCTCCTCTGCAGAGGACACATGGAGCATACTTGATGTAAATCCACTGCCAATTGCTGCAACTGAAGATGTTTCAAGAGAGGGACCTGAGCGGCCAGGATTCCGAGAGCTCGGTACTGCTGTAGACAGAGCAAAGCTTGATGAAGTCACAGAAGGAAGTGGATCAGGCATAAGAATTGAATCTTCAACAGAATCTCCCAAAAGGGCGGTCTCGGCAGTGCAACTGCTTTCATTTACAATAACAGGTTTTGACCGTTGCCAGCATAAGCTTGTAACAGCCTGATGAACAGTTGAAGTGGTTAGTATAAAACTTCTCAATATAACTATATGAGTAAGATACTATTCTCCTAGGGGGAAAACAAAAGACAAAGGTGCCTAAAGAACAGATACCTAAGGAAACAAGAGCATAATGGGGAGAACATATCCGAGACAACCAAAAAAGAGGAAAATAAATGGCAGGAATCATATCAAAAAGAACCGAGACTGATTTTTAGTGGTATTTTTAGCCATTTCCAACTGCCAAGAATCATAAATTACTCATTGGTTAAAAAGACCAAGGACTTTCACAATAAACCAAATCTAATTAAGCTATTTGTTGCATATTCATAGACTAAAATTAGCACAACGTACTCTCTTTTCTCCCAATGATATAGAAGTCGAGACTTCATTTTTTGAGCCAAAAAGCAAAAGTCATATAGAGAAGTCAAATATTTCTTAAAAGGCAAAACTCTTCATACTAGATAGTAAAAGGCAAAGTCTCCTAGATTGCCAATGACCAAGTGGATACAAGCTTAGTTTCTGAGAGATGCATACTGCCGTTGTCAGAGTTCATGTAAAATGGAATTGCATAATTTATAGCATGCTTTACGAAAAATCTAGTAGCTGACACTCATTAAAAACCCGATAGACAGAGAAAATGGTAATATAAAAAGAAAAGAAACTACCTCAGAACTACTATATGCTCTAAGGACAGTGAATGGTTCTGGCTTTCCACGAATATCATAGAACACAACCCGGCCGGTGCTTGTTCCAGCTGCAAGCACCAAGCCATCATCTCTAAATGCCAACGAAGAGAAAGGCGCTTCAAAAGAAATGGAAGAAGAAGGTCTTCTAGATCCTGAATCATACGTATACAACTTTTTGTCCAGACCAATGCTAGCAATTATCTGTCATGTCGAATAAAATAAAAGTGAGTTTAATTAGAAGAAGAGAAAAATAAAAATGTGAAAATGTATGCCAATATGTGTCCTTTTATATTGTGTATTTATGAGACCTTGTCAATGGAAGGTGAAAAACTGACACCAGCAGTCGGTGCAGAATGCTGCTTCAACCAAGAAACCTGGAGAAGGTTTGGAGGAGAGAAAGACAGAGAAAATCAAACTCTTAATTTAGAGGACAAAAAGTTAATTAACATTAGCTATTGGGGACGTGGTGCAACATAACCTTAAATCTTGATTCAGATTGACTAGAAAAAGTTCATACCACGGAAATGGAAATGCAAATGCAAAAGCTGGAGGTGATAAGAATATTTCAGCACAAATTTCAATCCACTTAAACTTAGGCAACAAGAAGTGGCATAACCATAAACCATCCTACAACTAAAGTAGACATGAATTTCCAGAGAAATACATAAATTGCTCACGGGTTAGTTTTTATTTCCAAAAGTATTGAGGATCGTCGACAAAGAAAGAATAATGCAAACCTTTGGGCTGCGACCAGTTGTATCCCACAAATGTACAGTCCCATCATCACCTGCCGTCACTAGAAGGTGCCGACTAATCCGGGAATAATCAAGAACTCTCAATACCTGGTCTTAAAATCCAGCAGACAGACAATTTACTCACAAAATACATGCTCATATAACTTGGCCAGAAAGACAACATGCAACATAATAATCAACCTGCTCATTTGGATCTTTGAGTTCAGCAGTCCGTGCACCAGATGCAAGGTTGTGAAGCATTAGATCCCCACCAAGACTGATGGAGGCCAAATGCTCATCCTTGCAATTGTACATTGCACCTGTTATTGTATTGGTGTGACCTCTCAACCATTTAATACAACGCTTCCTTTGCAAATCCCATATTCTTACAACCTGGCCACTTCCACCAGTGCATATGTATCTAGAAACCTTGTTGCTAAAGCTAATAGCCAGTATAGACTCCTGTAAAAGGGTTTAAATAGAAGTAGATGAGCTCAAACAAACGAAACCCATTCAAGCCTATAATGTAAAATCATGATCAGGCCCATCAAAAACTAAGAAAGCAACTAACTTTAAAGCAAGTTCTATAAAGTTTGGATCTTAAATTAATAATAAATAGGTGAACCATGGAGCATGGTCTTATCGACTTCCCAGCACAGTTACTAGAAGAAAACTGTGCTCCATTATCTCTCTAAACTATGCTCTTATCAATAAATCCGTGCACTATAACCACCCTAAATCCTCAACAGAGATTATCAATAAGACTAACCACAAGAATTTACAAGCTATTAGCTGGCAGAAATCTGCATTGGTCGAATACTTACATCAATGTTGTCACCACTGTCAGTCCCGGCCACCGGAATGGTCCCCATACTCTGCCCACTTTTCCGCCACAACGAGATCTTCTTGTCATCTCCAGCGCTGGCCACCACCAAATCTGCAAGAATCACACCCCCACCTCAATTAAACTCGAAAATCTTTATCTGTAGCTAAGAATCACACGGGAACTTGAGAAATAATTTCACCAACAAAATCTCATGTCATTATTTTATTCCTCATCATAACCTAATACAATTTTCTACCCCCATTGCTAAAATAAGTAAATAACAAGATGAATAATAACCAAAAAAATCCCCATCCAACTAATTTCAACACAACAGTTCGTCCGCATTCAGTAAAAACGAAAACCACCACCCAGAACCATCTTCAAAAGCCCTCATTACAAACAGAAATGACGAAATGTAATTCTAAAAAAAAAAAATCTGACGGAATTTAGTACAACAGAAAACAAATCAATTCAATTCTGAAGAAAGAAAGAAAGAAAGTGAAAAGAGAATAAGAATGAGCGACTCACTGGTATGATTCCACTTGACAGAATTGACTTGGAAACCAGGAGAAGGAGTGTAGCTCAAGGCACACGGATCGCCGCCCTTTCCGGACACATCGAAGAGCTTCACGGTGTCGCCGCCGCTCGCCGCCAGCAACGCCACCGACGGATCTGTTAAATTCATTGTCGCTCTCTCAATTTTCCGACGGGAAAGAAAATGCGAAGCCTTAGTATACTTTAATCCGCCGATTTCCACAAATTTTCCCGGGAATTCTCGGTGCCTACGATACTCGGGAAAATTTTGAAAGAGAGAAAGTGAATTTAAACATTTTTTTAGAAAGTTTGATTGCAAATGTTTTTTGAAATGTTTGTTGTTGTTGTTATTCTGCTTTTAGAAACCGAAGTACCAAACCCTACCGGAAAGAGAAAATGAGGGGCGAAAATTTAAAATGAGAGGTGAACGAGTGAGCGCCTTTATACGCTGGGCTGGGCCATTGTTCCTGGCCCATAGGCCCACTACATGCCACGGGGCGGATTTGGAGTGGAGTGGTCTTCTAACTATCTGCCAAGAAAAATTTAAACCGTGTTTAGAATTAAACCCGTTTTTATTTTTTACGTTTTTTAAAAAAATAAATGAAAATATTTTTAAAACGGTGTTTAGTACAATAAAAATAAAAAACAGAAATAAAAATAATTTTTTGATTTAGTGTAAAACGAGAGAAATAAAAAATGACTTTTAGTCGTTTTTCATTTTTTGTTTTCATTTTCTCCTCTCTCGAGCAGAGAGAAAGAGACAGAGACATTAATGGGTTTTTTTATACTAAAAATAATCTCTTAATAAAATTACCAAATGCATTTTAAAAAATGATTTATGTCTCATATTGAAAACGTTTTCATTTTCATTTTCATACAAAAAACAAAATCATTTTAGAACGAGTTCCAAACACGCCCTTAGACTTTGTTCACTTTGCAGATTTAAGTTTTCAATTTAAGCTAAAATGTGACATTTTTTGAGTGCTTTTAATTGTAACAAAAAAATAGATGTGACAAATTCTAAGAGCTTTTAACCGTAGAAACCTAAAACTGAAAATTTGAATCGATGAAATGAACGAGACCTTAAACACTCACCTATGAACCCGCATAAATTGACGGGTTTAGGAGCGAATTTTTCTGTCACGTGTTCAGAGTATTCGTGGTGTCCCATTTACCCAATAAGTTATTTTCATTGTAAAATAAATAAATAATTAATTAAAAAGTACAAACATACAAAACATTAAGTTAAAAATAAAAGAAAGGTAGTTTTAAATTTTCATATATATTATGTAATGGATTATATTATCTTAAAATTATATATTATACATATTCTACCTAATCTATCTAATTTAAAAATATGATATAATTAAATGTGGCTAATAAATGGGGAATAGAATCGGAGACATCTAAATTTGTCTCGTCTCGCGACTCGCGACAGGTTAAAATTTTAATCAATTTATAATCTGGATCCGTTTAAGGTAGATTTTTCTTACCCCATTTAATGTGGGTCCCCGCAGATAAATGGATTAAAAGGTAAAATTGTCATCCCTACTCCCTTATAATTGCAAGAGAAAATTGCTAAATTTACCTTAAAAGTGTATGGTCTAGATTTTTACTATTTACTTTTAATTAGTATCTTTTTATTAATATAGTTATTTAACTAAAAGAGTATTAAACAAGAGTAAGGGATAAAAATCAAGATTCATACACTTTGAAAGGATATTTGTCAAGATTTATCTTTTTCTAAGATAATGATAATTTCAATTAATTTGAATGTTTACTATTTCTAAGAGGTGGTTGTTGCCTTTAACCATTTTATTTTGTTTCTCTTGATTTATATCACTTTTCAAGTGGTATAATATTTATATTACCCTTTATTTATCTAAATTCTCAACCCTTCAGTTAATTACTGATTAACTATTATTAATCGGTTAATTTCAGTTAACAAGTGATTAGTCATATCTGGTTGTTTGGGTATCTTTTATTCATAATGATATGATTTAAACTTTTCTACAGAAATAGTAGAATTAAGTGACACTACCACATAAGTGATATTTTCCAAATTAATATGATTTATGTCTTGTTTGTTTCATAAATTCGAATTACTGTTTAAACATTTTTGCTACAATGTTTTTTCTCACAAAAATTAAATTTATGTTCAAACCTATAAACTAAATGGACCCATAGATTAAACTTTGAGCCTAGTCAAAACCAATATTTGAATGCCAAAGTTTTGGTCTTAGTTTGAACAATTATGTGATGGTTTAAACAAGTAAAACTAGAAAAAATAAGAACTTTACCTTCTCACCTTTTTACTCGTTTAAACTTTAAGTTTAAATCACACTTTTTAATCCTTACACTTCAAACCAAAAAAAAGTTCAAATTAATACTTTTTTAACCCACGATCAAATTGGACTCTTAGTTTTTACGTCAATGCATTATACTACTGAAGTTTAACATCTATTTTTTGGCATAATTATTAAAAGCTTTGAGACTTGTAAAAGTAAATTTCTAATTCTTTTTTTTTAATTACACTTATAATCTTAAAATAATTTAACAATAACAATATTATTGTAATAATTAAATGAAAAGGTGAATATAGGTGAAAATTTTAGGTCCGTCCAACCCGGTCCTAAATAGGAGAGGGATGACCCAACCTGACATAAGTCTGAAAATTTTAAGGCATGTCTAAAATTTTATAAGGTATTTTTCTTAAACAGAGAGCGTTTGCCTGGCCCAAAAAACCTTTTCGGCTCAAAACATTGGCTCAACTCGAAAGTTAAAATCAGATCCGGATTAACAGTAGCAGACCTTAAGCCGATCCGTTTGACTCGGCCAAACTTAGGTGAATATATCAATCAAAATATTGTAAAGTGATTTTTCTACACAGACACAGAAATTTGACATCAACACACTGTTTTAACACTATATTATGGATACTTTCAAAAAAAAAAGAAGATATATATATATATATATATATAAATATATTATGGATGCTATGAGATCTCTCCCTATTTGGTATATTGACTCACACGGTTCCTTTTTGACATTTTTCTCCATGTTAACATTGTCCTAGAAAAATATATGAGAGTTCGTATAATGGAGCATGTTATTTTGCTTCGTTGATAACAACTGTATTTCTAATTAGATTAATTTTTTAACAGTTAAATCTATAATAAAAAATTCAGTGCAACGTGTTATACATTTTTAATACGTATTTGTGCATATACGACCCTTAAAAAACTAATCAAATAATTAAAAATAATTATTCCTACCGATAGAGCTAAATAACATACTCTACCGTATAGATTCTTAAAATATACAATACAAATTGGAATACAATGGATTGAATAAAATAATAAATAAGTAAACTTCTCTGTACTTTCTGTTGGTCGTGTGTACAAGCTTTTTCAAAAAAAAAAAAAAATATCGCAATAGACTTCCTTATCCTGAATCAACAACAAAGAGAGTATAGGTAAACATCACTGTGACGTTTCTATGATTTAATAATGTTTGGAAAAGAGTTGTTTATAAACAACTCACCCGGTTGAGCCAAATAAAATAAGAAATATGGCTTAAGAAAAGAAACAAATTGTTGTTTAAGAACGTCCCTATCCACATCAATATCAAATTAAAGTATTAAAACACCAAACATACAAAAGATGAAAAGAGTAGAGGTCAAGTTAAGCAATCTGCCCTTCAGAGAGGGGGGAAATTTTCTGCTCCAAATCATCCTGAAGTCAAACCATACAAAGGTCAGGCTAAAAATGTATGGGCAATATCCAAAATCTGAGAAAAAGTCGTCCACTTGGACATGTATTAGAAAGGGGGGAAAAAAAAGAAGAGAGAGAGAGAGATATTAAAGGTCAAAAGTGGACAGAGTACAGCCGAAATGTTGTTAATCTTCAATCAAATGGCTAACCATATAGATGGCTGAAAGATGAGCACAATCATCAATAACACCCACGGTATATCATCCTACACATCCACCATCACAAATTCAAATATTTTAACAAGAAACTAAAAACTTAAATAGCGCAATGAAAGGAAACCCCTTAGTCTGAACTCTGAAAAACTGAAAATTTCTTCCACTAGCAGTGAATGAGGCCATTTCTGGACCAACAACCGGCACAGCATAACTATAATTTGCCACATATCTACACAATTGTTCCAACATAAGTACAAACTAGAAGAAGAAGAAGAAGAAGAAGATTAACCCTTCTGCTTTGTTTACTCCTTCAAATAGTAAACTAACTTGTGGAGTCTCTCGGGTAGCTTAAGAAAGTGTGTGTTGATTCACTTAAGTTGAATAAACTTCTAGTTCTGGAGATCTGGCCACCTTCATTTTCATCCATTTTCTCCGAGCAACAATGGCAAAATGCCTGCATCAAGAAGATAATTAATTAGCATATCAAGTGGAAAGCAAAAAGAGGGAGGGTTACGTCAATAACTTGAGATAGCTAAATCGTGGTTGAACTTTGTGATTTAAACAGTTGATGCATAGACGCAATTATCTATAAGAAACGTTTTACATGAGTGAAAATAATTATTTCAGAAGGATGTGTGTGTAAAAGCTTGAGCAAAATTTCCCACGTTGGGTGAAAAACACCCTTTACCCAGAAAACTATAGTAGAAAATACAAAAGTCAACAAACACATGCTAGCATAATCATTAGGCACGCATACAAAAAAAGATTGCACTTTTTGGATATAAAAATAAGGAAAGTGAGAGAAAACAATAATCGTCTGACCCTTTAAATAACACTGGCTCAATTTCACATTTTCGTTGACATCATGAATTTAGCTTTTTTCTCCGCTGGCTTGAGAATTTGGAAAGAGCACATCAAGTTTTCATCAACAATCATCATTGCACCAGCATTATCAAATTCACCACAGTAGTTTGGGGCTGAAAATACTGTTACGAGTTGCCTGTCAGCAAAGAATTCATAGCCATCCTCCACCACCTAGAACAAAGTGTATATTTTCAGTCTCCAAAATGAGTAATACTCGAGTAGAATGGTGGAAGTAAAAATGAAGAAAATTAATTACCTGATGGGCACGACAGACAAGGTCCAAATCATGTTTGAGCAAGAACTCTGCCACCTTATCAGGGCCAAAGGTGTACGAGACTCCTCTGTCGTTCATTCCCCATCCCTTAACATCTCTTCCGGGATCCGACCAAAGCAAGTCACAAAGCAAACCAGTGTCAGGAACAGCAGTTGGACGAGGTAGGTTCCTTATTTGATCTAAGTGTGTTAAATCAGGAGACAGACCCCCATGCATGCATAATATTTTGTCATCTATAACAGCTGCCACAGGAAGGCAGTTAAAACAGTCGGTAAATGCTTTCCAAAGTCTCACGTTAAATCGTCGTTTACACTCATCATAAAATCCATATATCCGGTTAATAGAAGCACACTCGTGATTTCCTCTAAGAAGAAAGAAGTTCTCTGGATACTTAATTTTAAAGGCAAGCAAAAGGCATATTGTTTCCAAACTCTGCTTGCCACGATCAACATAGTCACCTAAAAATAGATAATTGGCACTCGGAGGAAAACCCCCATATTCAAAAAGCCTCAACAAATCGCTGTACTGCCCATGGATGTCACCTGCAAAGAATCACAAGATCAGAGCTGTTAATTACTGTAATTACAATAATAAAGTCAAATGATAAAACTATCACTGTTGTATGAAATGCAGAGAATTACAACCAAAATGAGATAGTTGAAAATCTCTAGTACGTCCTAGAACTGATCAACTCGCTCAAAGTAACTACTATCCGATACTAGGCACGACTTCACATGTTTTCAGTAAAAAGACCTCAGATCCTCTCGCATCCAAAATTTCAACCTGAACCACAACCACCCAGACAACTCCCTATCCCCCACAACCACTATCTTCCCGCGCCCTCCTTAGAATAAAGTGAACCATCATCCACGTTATAGATAAAATTTTCAAGTTATTTTCTCATGACGTCCAAAATAGAAAAATAACCTAAATGCTCTTATATTAAAGCAGACATACAAATCAGTGTTTTCATATGAACACATAAAAAAACGTCAATGAATTGAATAAACAGGTATAGTGGAGAAACAGACGGTAAATTTCTCTACTTCTCCATTTTCTTGGCAATTATACAGAGTAGAATCTTCAATAAAGGTCTGTCCAAGGAGCATGGCTCATTCACCTAAACTCAAAGAACATATAACATCTAAAATAATCCCGAGAACCCGTTATTCTTTAGCCGCATATTTCAAATTTCGCCACTCCACTGACTGATCAGTGCACCATGTTTCCATTCTTTCCAGCAAAGAAGAAAAGAGAGAAAAAATGGAAAACTGAGCAACTTAAAGAAAAACCATTAAAAACAAATATGGGTGCTATATGATGTAAAATCTAAAATTGCTCACAAGCAAATGAACATCAAGCATTCAAAAGAACAGAACCAATCAAGAAAGGAAAAAGGAAAGGAAAATTATCAAGCAAAACCTGGTTTAATCAATAGAAGGAACCTAATAAGAACCACATCCCAATCCAGTATAGAAAAATGCCAAAATTTCGTAGAAAAGATTCTAGAAACACAATAAATAAATAAATAAAAACTTAAAACCCACAGAAAGGTAAAAAGCGTACCGCAAATTTTGATAGGGGCTTCAAGCTCGAGCAAATTCGGCTGTCGGAGGAAAATGTCTTTGGAAGCAACGCAGAGTTGCTTGATCTCCGACTCGGAAAGTTGGACCTGCTTACCAGGCCTCACCGATCGGACCTCCGTGAGCCGTCTGATTATATCATCCAATACGGCGGGGTCGATCCCTGCCTGCACTTGCGACGCCATTAGATTCTAGACGAAGCAGCCGCTAAACTATAAATATAGAACAAGAAACCCTAGAAATTATCAAGAAGACGAGATTCAAAGAAATTTCCTTCCTTGTTTCTTCGTATATTTTGTTTTTGATTGGGTGTTATTGAGGCTTTCTCATGTTTGCGGCTTTTGGCTTGGTTCGTTGGGTCGATTTTCTCGGAAAATAGATTAGGATTTTCTCTGGTGGGAAAAAGGGTGGGAAAGCGACGGAAAAATTATTTTTAATGAAAGACGGACTTTTGTTGGAGGGATAGGAGAAAGTGTCAAAACATTGAAAACGGAGACGGCTGCAACTCCTATGTGGCGAAAATGCCTATTATAAATTAATATCTCTCTGGAGAAAAATAGAGAAAAAATTACTTTCTTTTTTTTCAGTTAAATAACACGAATATTGTCATTTTCTTTTTTTTTTTTAAATAGAATATTGTTACTTTCTTAGGACATAGGAATAACAGATTTTTACTTTCGACTTAAAAATCGTTTCAAAGTCCTCCTGTAAGATCGAAGTCTGAGACAAAATACTTTTTAAAAAAACTAAACTCTCTATTGGTACTATGTATTCAAACACGAACTCATATATTCTAAAAAAAAAAAATTAAAAAAAAATAAAAGAGACGTTTGGTTCATAGATTAAAATCATGTGATTAGAATTATTTTCAATTTACGTGTATTTTTTTAAGAGAAAATATTATAGCGAATCACGAACCATAATTCGAATTAAGAGACGAATCCCTCAACCAAACAACTTAGAACTCATGTTCATCTTTTGACTTTGAGCAACGTAAAGAGAAATGGTTTCACCAAAAAAAAAAAGAAAAAAGAGGAAAAAGTAAAGAGACGTGGTCACTCTATCACTCTTCAATTCACCATAGATGACAATGGTTATGGGATGGGAGATTACTTTTTCTATCCATTCCTATCCAAAACAATCTCCATCTCCATACACTTTCCTATTTAAAGAGACCCTAGGACGAAGTCGGAGAATCTCCGCTTAGAGTGCTTTCTCCATTTCCGTCACAGTCCTCACTATAATATTTAATAAGTGAGAAATGTTAGCATTATTTTTTCTATCACACTCTTTACTCTATATATTTACTGTTTAACACGTGTATTTCACTATCTTATTTTATGTTTAAATAATAATATATTACGTTAATAAAGTGTATGTGTCTAATAGTACTAAAATAGAGAGTGACAGAAGAATGATGATAGCTGTTGACGGTAGAATTTCACCAATAGAATTATGATGGGTTACCTCTGGGTATACCGTTGAGTTACCGGCTTGAAATCGTTATATATTTGAGTTAATGCTGCCAATGTGCTTTTAGTGGTGTGTTCAATGTAAGAAATATGGGAGTGGTACTTGAATAAAAGTAAGAACGCAAGGTTTATAGTGGTTCACTCTGTTAATGAAGAGCTACATCCACTATATATAGCATATATCTTTTTCCTATCTTTTATTACATCCGAAAAAGAAAAGGTCCCCCCGATCCTTTGAGGCTTTGCCCCTTTAATAGCCCAAAGATTACTTCTTGGGCAGTTCTTCTTCGTAGGCATATCCACTCGAGTGGCCTATGATCCTATGGGCCCATACCATAGTCTGTCAACACCTTTTGCACTGTTTACTCATCCACTTTGTCCCCTATTACGGCTCTGTGGATTCTCTGTAATGTTCCACCGTCCGTCTCAGGCGATTTAGGGGTTCCTAATTAATTTATGTACCACTGACATTATCTTAATCCAGAAGCAACTCCCTTGTCCACTCAGGGGCCCTACTGGGGACGTGGGTCCTCGTTTATGTGGTCTGCTTCCTATACCTGCTCGATATACGGCCTACCGTAGACCCTCCATCAGTCGACCTCATCGAGATTCCCCTGATGTAAACAAGTTACGTCAACACTAAGGGCATAAAGGGTCGACGGTCCTATGGGCCACTTCATCTAATCGGCCCTTCACCACAGGAAACCCCAAGCGACGACGACTATCAGATGTGGTCTAAGCAGGGCCACATGGGGCTTTATCGTTGTCTGACGTGTCAACACATATTTTCCCACACAACATATGCCCCCCAGGTCGAGGCTTTCCTTTGGACTGCTTCGAGCTAGGTTGGGATTTGCTCGGTTGCCTTTTTTTGTTTGCTTCGGGTGTGGGAGCCTACTTCTGAGCCTATCTTGCAATGATGGCCCTGGCGCTTTGAGAAGCACAAACGTCGCGTCGGTCCAACCATCATGCTGACGTGGCCTTTTATTCAAATGGAGGAACCCGAGCCCTTGGATCGTGCTTCTTTGGCTTCTCGCTCCTCCCCAAATCGTTGGATCGAATTCCTGTGCTTCCACCATTGGATATATACGTACCTGATCGAACGGCTGGGGGTCGAGGGCTTTTAGTTGCTATAAATAATCTCCAAAGTGTCTAAACAATTTTGAAACCATTTTCGAGCAGCCGAAACTCTGCAAAAATTTCTCCAGGATCGCTCGTTCTCCTCTTGCTAACCTACGGATCTTTGGTGATATTCACCTCAATGTTCATGCTTCCTTCTCGTTCTTCAATTCTTGGTAAGCACTCCTCACCCTTTTTCCCATTTTTGACGTGTTTATTCTATCTATGCTTTCGGTAGATATCTTGAGTAGGTAGGAATGATTGAAAGTGACGCAGGACAGGTGTTAGAACCTGAGCTTAACATTATTTGCAATGTTTTGGACCGCCTATAGGAGTCTCGAGTGAGTCTGGATTTCTGTTTGGCATTCTGGGTTAGTTTGAATGGTCGTTGCTTGGTCCTTTGACTTTAACCGACCATGCTTTTTTATTTTTATTTCTAAGTGCCATCCTATCTTCCTCTTCCCTCTCGACTTATAGGAGCTGATCTTAGATTTTTTTTTTTACAGTAATGGCACCTAGAAGGATAAAACATCGAGGGGGATCATCATCCGTGCCTCTTGTGAGGCCGGATCCAACACCAACCGCCAAGTCTTCCTCACATTCTACTGCCAGCAACCCAATCTTAAGGGAGGTTGATGACTAAGTCCCTGGCCCATGAGATGATATGGACAGTGTCGACCCCCTAGTCGAGGGCGAGACTGAGGGGGAGAGCCCTTACACTTCCAGTAGCTCCGGCTCTCTAGTTGGGGGCCTTATCTTCAGCTGTAGCAGCTGACATACTGGCCTCCACGTGGCATCAGTGGGGGCGGACGAGGATCGACCGCCCTTTACTCCTGACTTCATGGAACCGAAGACACGGCAGGGAGATATCGTCCGCGCGTATAAGAAGGGACGCGTAGACGGTCGATGGTTTGAATATCTCCTACCAAACCCCCACTTCAGAGTGAGCCAACCACCCCTGGGTTATATGTCTGTATATACCCGGGCCTTCACAGTGGGGATGACACTTCCTATACACCCGTTTGTAAAGTCCCTATGTAATCTCCACGACATATCCCCTACACAGTTGGCACCAAATTTTTGGTACAGTTTTGCCAGTATGTGGGTCCTTTGGGACCAAAAGTTTAATGTAAATGTGCCTTTGGATGAGTTCCTCTTTATATATAAACTCTGTCAGGTACCTAAGTGCGATGGCTGGTATTTTTTGGGTAGTTACGTGTGGTCCAAGTCCATCTTAGGAAAACTAATAAGGGGGTTACCCTCGTCGTCACATGCCTGGAAGCCGATGTTTTCTATGGTGAAGGGCATGTTTGACGTTCACCTGGCTGATAGGCCTTTTAAGCGCCTAGGAAATGTCGTTTGGGACGCTGAGTGAGTATCCTCGACCATTTGCTATGTAACTGTCATCGTGTTTTTACATCGCTGACCCCTCATTATTCTGTGAAGTTCCTCAGGATCGCCCGCAACTATCCAGGAATCGTCTTACAAGGGTGAAGCAAGCCTTCAGCTTCCTAGAAACCCACCGTCACGTCGGCATTTTGTTGACGCGGGATAATTTGGAAAGTTCTGGCCTTCTGTTCTCACTGCCTCATCCTGATAACACCGACGAGGTCAAAGATTTCTTCCACTTCACAGCCGGAGGTTAGTCTTTCTTTCTTGCCTTCGATTCCTCACTATATGTCGCCTGTCTGAATTTCTAGCTTTTAATTGTGGTGCAGAGATGAAAACCCTGCAGCTGCGCATTCCGGGCGCCAAGGGGCGTTCAAAGAAGCAGAGGCCTCGCGAGGGGCCGAACGAAGCCACTGGGGTCAGCGTCCCGCCTCAGCTCACGACCATTAAGTACTTGGGAGACGTTGAGGCCCAAGAGGCCTCGGCCGGCTGAAAAGCCAGCGGTGGAAGTTGAACCATCACCAGTAATCAATATTACTGATGCTCTTGAGTCCCCTCTGCCCAGAGAACGTCTGCTGCTTCCTGGGGCAAGGGTTCTAGACCCACAGTTCATCGTTGCTGATGTCCCCCTGGCCAAGATCGAAGCAGCGCTAAGTCTGTCCCGCGCTTCTCCGTCATCTTCCAGGCTCTATACGAGTCCTTTCTTGAGCAGGACTAGGAGAGTGCTACCCGAGCTTCTTTTATCGGCCGCACCCGTCAGCAAATCTCTCTTCATATCCATGTAAGCTTCGTTGTCTATATGCAATATGCATTTTTTATTTCTTTTCCTCTTCTCTCTCTTCTCTCTTTTTTAACAGATTTCTTCTGATTTGGCAGTCCTTTGTCCTCTCTCTCCTCAACTTTATTGATATGGTTAAGGTGGAAGAGATAAGCAAGGGAATGGACTGCATTGAGGGGCGCCTGAAGATTCTCCTCCAAAAGGAGAGAGATAGTAAAGGGGAGACTTCAAAGAAGCTTGCCCTCGTCGTCAAGGAGCTAGATGCGGTGAAAGTTGATTTGGAGAATGGCCAAAAGGAAGCTGAGGTAGCTCGTAGGCAAGCTGCTGATGCTAAGGATATCTTCCGGAAAGAGGGATACAACTTAGGTAAGCAGGATGGCTATGACTTGGGCAAGAAGAAGGGGGTCAAGGAGTTTGTTGCCTCTGCTGAATTTGCTCAGAACAACGCATATGTTGCTGTTAAGCCCATCGAGGATTTCAAATCCTTCGAGGAGTTACATGATATGCGTGCCAGTGACATGCTATCTGTTGGCGAGCAAATTATTGCCAGAATTAACAGGCACCTCCCTGGCCTCAACTTGGACTTCCTCTACGAGCCCCCTTCTGACGACGAAGGTTCTCCTGTCGAAGGCGGGCGCGACGAAGGTAGTGGTGGAGCTGCAGCTGATAGCGGAGAAGGCGATGTAGGTGACGAGCCTAGGACGCTGGGTTCTGCTTTTATGATTTTGATCTTTGTAATATATTTTTATTATCTGGACAATGAATTTTTATCATATATGTGCTTTATTATTTTTAATATATACTTATTTTTGATAGTTATACACAAAAGGTACTTGGTTAGTTACCCCAAAGAGGGTAGCCTTTCCTCTTTGGCCAACCTTCTGGACGTCCCTTGGGGTTCTTAGTAGATTTAAGAATATGCTATGTAGAAGCCTCTTCTCCTCGGAGGAGTTGGCCTTATAGACGCCCCTTGGGGCTGTTGGCAAATCTAAGAATTTGCTAAGTAATAAAGCCTTTCCTCCATGGAGGAGTCAACTTTCTAAACGCCCCTTGGGGCTTTTGGCAAATCTAGGAATTTGCTAAGTAATAAAGTCTCTCCTCCATGGAGGAGTCGGCTTTCTAAATGCCCCTTGGGGCTTTTGACAAATCTAAGAATTTGCTAAGTAATAAAGCCTCTCCTCCATGGATGAGTCAGCTTTCTAAACGCCCCTTGGGGGTTTTGACAAATAGTGTGAGTGTAGACCCCTGTTACCCCCCATGTTTGTCTATAAACCTTGATTTGTAGGCGTATGTTGTTAAGGGGTTGTTTGGACACTTGTTATGAACAAATTTTATATAATTGAAATGCCATATTTAGCTAAAATAAGTAAGAATTCGTACACTATTGGTAGTACAATCTTAGCTGTTCTGCATTCCACGGGTGTTGAATCCTTTTACCGGTGAGGCTCTCTAAAACGTAGGTCCCTGGGCATAGCATTTCTCTTATGCGGTAGGGTCCTTCTCAAGTTGGGCCCAATGGACTGGTATTTTTTAGTTTTGTGCTCTGCGTCACTCTTTTTAATACCAAATCTCCTGAAGCAAATCTTTTCTGTTTGACTTTCCTGTTGTAGTATCGTGCTGTTCTTTGTAAATAAGCGGCGAGTCGTAGTTAAGAATCAAGCATTTTTTCTTCTAACAGGTTGAGCTCTCCATTTATTGCCTCCGCGTTAGTGTCGTCGTTATACACGACCGTTCTTAGCATCGGTGTCTCAATTTCTACAGGGAGTACCGCCTCGGCACCATATGTCATAGAGAATGGTGTTTCGCCCGTTGTTGTTCGACTCGTCGTCCTATATGCCCACAAGACCTTTGGGAGTTCTTCAGCCCATTTCCCCTTTAAGTCATCCAGTCTTTTCTTCAGGGTGTACTTCAGGATTTTATTGATGGCTTTAACTTGGCCGTTGGATTGTGGATGTATCAGAGCTGAGAAGCTTTTTTGAATGCCCAGATCATCGCAGAATTTGCGCGTCGAGGCATTGTCAAACTGCTTCCCATTGTCAGACACAATCGAATGTGGAACTCCAAATCTACACACGATGTTGTTCCACATAAAGTTGGTGCAAGCTACCTCTGTGGTCGAAGTAAGAGCTTTCGCCTCTGCCCACTTGGTGTAGTAGTCTACTGCGATGATGGCGAACTTAAAGCCTCTTGGTGTGAGGTGCAAGGGTTCGATCAGGTCGATCCCTCACTTGGCAAAAGGCCATGGGCTAAGGATAGAAGTTAGGTTCTCTCGGGGTGCTCTATGAATTGTGGCATATCGTTGGCACTTATCGCAACGCCGAGCATATTGAAACGCGTCTTTTTTAAGCGTAGGTCAATAATACCCTTGCCTCAAAGCTTCCCCCCCCCCCCCCCCCCCCGATCCCGCAACCCCCCCCTCCCTCGT